GCCAGCTTTCTTTTGGTTTTTAATAATGTTTCTAAAACAAAAATTTGAAATAAAATATCTTTTTCGTGTTAAATTAATAGCCAAATTACCTTTTTACTATGGGATCTTGTACTTTAGAGGTGTTTTCCAAGATCTGATAAGATTTCATAGGCTTTTTGGCATTGAGTTTTCTCTTTTGTTTTTCGGTTAAAAGTTTCTTTTTATTCGCTTCTGAGGGAGCTACATCAACTTGAAACAGTTCCTGATCTGCTTTATCCTCAAAGGTACTACAAAAAAAAAAAATCAAGTTAAATTTGTGTTTTTATAATTGTAAAATCTTCTTACCCAATTCTTTCCTCTTGACGCTGTTCTTCTAGGTATTCTTCTACATCTTTTATATCAGTTTTACGCCAGGCGGATTTATTTTTCTTTGAAATACGTTTTTTCTTTTGTATTTCAGACATTTTAGGTGAAATTTTTAATAAAATTTCTTAATTTCTATAATTTATTGTAGAAAAAACAATGCACGTGTTGTCTTTAGAAAAAACAGATGAAAACAATGAAGAACTGTCAAGGCGAATTCAATGTGTCAACGTTTTTTTTCTTATTAGTGTTGCCAATATAAGTAAATAGTTAAAAATTTAGGTGGCGTTTAGTGACAAATATTTAATGTAAATTTGCTATTAAAATTTATAAATACAAATCAAAAAGAAATATTTTCTAAAATTCACAAACTAGAAGAATCTCACCAAGTTAGCGAGTAAATCGTTTTTTTAACTAAAATAATCTTTTCGCCGCTAAATTGCTTTAAAATCTCTTGAAAACAACTACAATGGCAACGCTGTCATTTAGCAAAATAATGTGAAGGTGGATTGACATCAGGTGGCAGCAAGTGCGAGTTCTTGCTTTTTGTTTACATAAAGTTTGACAGTTTTAAATGTGGCAGAACTGTTTTTTATACATAAAGTTTAACAGTTTATGTACAACAAATAATAAACAAAATTAAAACATATGTTTCTATGACACCATTTACTTAAAATTCAGCTTGAAAGAAAGTGTTTCAGCAAATGAGTGTTTTCTTTTTTTATTAACCAGGAATCAAAGGTGTTATAACAATAACTAAACACAAAAATAACGTTAGCAGCTGCTAGGCTAGAACTTTTATGAGGTCAACAAGCTGAGAAGAGTTTTTAAAGAAGATGTGTAATTATAATCAAAAGCTTTAAGATAACATCATTTAGTAAACGGTAAGCAACAAGTTGACGTCGTTAACGCAACTTAAAGAAAAGAACCCAAAAAAGTAGCAGCAGCCAACAACAACCACAACGGCCGGGTTCTAAATAATACCAAAAAAAAAACTAAATCAAAACGTGGCATTTAAAGCGGAACTTAATTTAGTTTGCATTCAATGGTTTTTCAATTAAAATTTCAATAAAAACAAATAAACAAACGTAGGAAACAAAATGTTAGTGCAATGTTATCAAAGATGGCTAATGAGCCTATTATTTTTAATGGTTTTACCCACCTTATGTTGGGGACTTTTGGATGGTTTGTATTGTGGCAAACAGAATTGTTACGATGTCTTGGGTGTAACGCGTGATAATACTAAATCGGAAATTGCCAAAGCTTATCGTCTGTTGGCGAGAAAACATCATCCTGATTTGCATCGTACGGAGGAGGCTAAAAAAGAAGCTGAAACACAATTCAAATTAATAGCTACTGCCTATGAAATTCTAAAGGATGATGAATCACGCAATGATTATGACTACATGTTGGATAATCCAGATGAATATTATGCCCATTACTATCGTTACTACCGGCGAAGAGTGGCACCCAAAGTGGACGTACGTATAGTCATCATTGCCACTCTCACCATTATATCCATCATACAATACTACTCCGGCTGGCAACGTTACGATTCGGCCATTAAATACTTTGCCACTGTTCCTAAATACCGCAACAAAGCCTTAGAAATAGCCAAGGATGAAATTAATGAAAAAATCAACAATAAAAAGGGCAAAAATCGCCTGTCCAAGTCTGAACAAAAAGAAGAATTGGAAAAGATCATACGCAAAGTGGTGGAAGAGAAAATGGATGTTAAGGGTGCTTATGCCAAACCCTCAGTGTGGGATGTCTTATGGGTACAAATCATTATTTCCCCTTATACTCTAGTGAGATGGCTTTGCTGGCAGGCCAATTGGTTTTGGAGATTTAACATTTGCAAACAGCCTTACGGACGTGAAGAGCAGTTGTACTTAATTAGACGTCATATGAAAATGGGACAACATCAATTTGATGCCCAGGAAGATAAACAAATTGAGGAATATTTACATTTGGAATTATGGCAAAAGGATAACTTTGATGTTTGGAAAATGGAGCAAGAGGAGGAAATGAAAAAGAAACTGGCAGAAAATCCCCGTTATAAGGCGTATCGTCGTTATATGAAAAATCATGGTCCTGGTCGTATAACTTTCGAAGATTAGTTAGGTTGAATGCTAAATAGACGAATTTTATTTATAATTTTTAATTTAATTAAAGTTTAATAATTTTTTTTTTTACATAACATAAGTCTTAATTTTTTTTGTGTTGTGTGTGTTCATCAAGTCAGAGTCCAGTACTTGTTTAGCCATAATTTTGAACATGTATTTTAGAAAGTTATACAAATGTGAAATAAATAGAATTAACGAAAATTTAACAAAAACATCGTGTAATCTAAGTTAATTATTTTTCTATTTTTATTATGTATTTTTAATTTTATATAAAAAAACCCCAATAATTCCATTGTTGAAAGTAAAACGAACTATAGTTTTTTATGATGAAATAAACTTTGTGTTTTCTGAGATTAATAACTTTTACAAACAGATTGTAAATCTGAAATTTCCTACAGCTAAACTAATTAATATATATTTTTTTATTTTTACGAAAATCTGTAATACAGTATTTTAATAAATCTTCCAAATTGAAAAAAATAAACAATTGAAACAAAATTTTGAATAGAAAATTGTTATTGAAAACTTTAAAAATTTTGTTCGAAATATTTAAGACTGAAATAAGAAAATTTAAGAAATTGGACTTAAATGAAACTTTACACGAAAAATTTGACTTTTCGACTGAAAAATTTTCAGCAGAACATGGACTTTTTAGCAAAAAATGGAATTTTTTTCAAAAACTAAATTTTCTGCTAAAATCTTGATTTTGTTTTTTTTTACCGAAATTTCCATTTTTACAACAAAATTTTATTTTTCATAATAAAATTGAAATTTTCACTAAAAACTTTCAACTTTACGCCAGAAAAATATATTTCCTTTGAGAAATTTTTTTCACAAGAAATCAATTTTTCTTCAAAAAAATTTAGTTTTTTTTTCAAAAACTCGACTTTTTACCAGAAAAACAAATTTTCACAAAAGCTCGATTTAAATAGATTTTTTTTACTAAAAATTGGACTACGAAATGGACATTCCACCAGACTAACCGAAAAAGTTCTCAAGTTTTTTCCCAATTCCCCGGCAGTCGGTTCTATGTACCGAAATTATCGGCCAAGGGCTGTCAATCGAAAACACATTTCGATATCGAAATTAAGCTAAAATGTATTAGATTTCTTGTATACTCAATCACATAGAACTATTGTGTACAAAAGAATCTGAGGAATCAGACGAAGATCAAAGATCTTTTTTAATTTAATTAATTAACATATTTTTTGTTAACATCTTAAGAAAAAAAGAAACACTCAAACGTTTATTGACCTTTTTTTCTTGTTAGACTAGCAGTCATCAAAATTATTTAATTTTTTGTAAAGCTATTAATGCAAAATCATTTCTTACTATCTCTTGGGTTCGATTTGAATTGAAAACATTTCAAACTGCTTTGAAACCGGTTAATGATGATTTTTGGTCTAGCACATGTTTCACTTTGTATTAATTATTTTTTTTTTTTAAATTTTGTTTTGTTTATTAAGAAATTTATTCCTAAATAACTTGTACTATTTACTTCTTTTATGTTTATACAATTGTTTTTTTCTTTTTATTGTAGTTTTTGTTAAAAAACCAACAATGTAATAAATAATATGTATAGTTTTTGGGGAATAAATAGTTTATTTAAACAGTTGTTATTTTGGTTATAGTAGTGGCTTTGTTAATAAGCAATTAATCTTAAAGAAATGTTTACTTTGGGATAATAAATTTAATAATATTTAGTGACAAGTTTGGGTGTTTCAAAAAACTGTCGACAGTTCTTTCTAAACATACAGTTTTTTTATGAAAATATAAGTGTGCCAGTTTTCTTTTGTTATCGAGGACTTGTTAAGCTAATATTTAAACTATTTTGAATGGCGGGTTACATTGTAACTTGGTTGTGGTTTCCCTAGATAGTAGATAGGGACAGTAAGAATGTCGTTAATGTTTGTATTTCGAGGGCATTCTATTTTTAGCAGTATTTGCTGATATTTTGTACAAATATTAAACATTTCGTTAAAGAATTCGAAAGGCATATTGTTGCGAATCAAAGTTCTCCTAATTTCAAAGGTTCCTTAAATGGTTTCTTCTAAGTTTTAACAAGAGTTGCTAAACATCTTGTTGAAATATTGAAAACGTTGATAAAATTATAAAAACATACATATTTCAAAGTTTTTCTTTTTATACAATTTATTGCTTTTATTTTTTTCAATTTAATTTAATAAACTACTAACTATATAAATGATTACTATAAATATCATCATAATAATGGCTGAAAAATATCAATGTTATTTTTTTTTTAATTATACAACATATGTGATGTATTTGAAAAAAAAAACAATTTTTTTTTTAAACTGGCTACAATAACTATAGATAATTTCGCATTAACAGAAAAAAAATTTCGAACACTTCAAAGAGATACATACAATACAAGTAATATATTAAATGGCAAGTGAAAAAAAAACTACAAATAAATTATTATAAAAAAGTACCTTTAAACTAAATAAATACAAAAGATTTTAGTTTAAAATTTTGAATACAATAAATATTTCAATCCCTGACTTGTTTAAATTTTTTTTGTTTAATAAAAATCTTTGGTTTAAAGTGGTTTAGAGAAAAAATGTAAAGGGTTAAGGATTGTGGCAAGTTAGTATTAGACAAGGGGTTAATTATGAGGACAATGCGCGGTTGTTAGAAAAAAAAAAATCTCGTTGTAACAGTTCTGTTAATAAATTCAATAGAAAACATTTTAGTTTAAACTTTCACAGACGTAGCTTTTGCCAAACTTTGCTCATGCGTGTATTGGTATCGAATATACTGCGTACTAGGAAGACTTGTAACAGGCCCACTGCCACCATGGCACAAATTTGAAAGAGAGACCAGGTATTTACTTTACTGAAATTACTTTCAGCTAAATTACGATCTCTGGCCTCATGAGATCTCAACATATCCTGTATTTGTCTAGCCTTGGTCATTTGCATACGTATGCGACCCACATAGTCCATAATATCCTGTACCTTCATTTCATAATACTCCTCGGGCGTTAAACCTTCTAGCACATCATTCCACTGATCATCCCCCAAATTCTGTTCACCTTCCTTCTCTACTATCAGTTCAAAGAATACCGTCTTACGGTTGAATGTACTGAAAGTGTTATCAAAACAGAATCTATAATCCCCCTCTTTTTGTACGTCATGACGGTGTATATTTTCCGGCTTCTTAAAGTCGGTGACAATTATTAAGCCTATGGGATCGGCCAATGAAAAACTGATATCTAAATCACCATGACCACCGTCTATCACTTGATATTCTATATCTATGGTTTCGCCAAGTTTAACATTGTGAAAGAAACATTCTTTTTTGCCCGCATCGACATGCACCGTCATTTCTTTGTCATAGGCCTGCACTTTGACCAGCAACAGCAGCAGCACGCTAAAGGTTAGAATTTTGTTTATATGTACTTTCCGCATGGTATACTGTAATATTTTAATTAAAGTTTAATTGATAATTTTCGTTTTTTTCTATAATTTTCTATGAAACTTACTATTATTACGAATTTCCAAACAAAGAACGACTACAACAAAAAGGAATAATTTATTGAAATGTCAAACAAATGTATTAAAAGAGAGAAACTGATAAACAACTAAAATACAAACATACATACACACACATTGCAGGGTTGCTATAAATAGTAGTATTATAAAGTAGTATAGTTGTAGAGTTAATAATAGGGTTCAATAGTTGAAACAAAAGTCATATTTTCGACATTTTGCGATTAATATTATAAATCTAACATATTATAAATCTATAATTTGTCTTAAGCTTTATGGAATTTTTAAAAAGTCCACTTTTCAAAAAACTATATTGTTCAAAAGACAATTTAAAGAACCCTAGTTAATAGCTAAAAGTTTGTAGTTTTATTAAAATAAAATAAGAAAAGTACTTTATTAAAACCATTTTTAACCGATTTTTTTATTTTAATAATTTCGAGCCATATAAAAGACATGTAACAAAAGAACTCGTCTGAAACACAAAAAAACACTAATTATTTTTTTACAATGTGGCATCTCTTTCCATACTTTTTCTCTCTTGCTTTAATTTACACTCACAGCTGATTGTCAAAGTCATTTTTTTTACACAAAAAAAAAAACTTTTTTGTAGCTGAAGCAGTACAAATTGGTGCCGGAAAAACTTGGATAGGGAGGCATATTTAATTAAAATTGTTTAAAAAAAGGCTGCAGAAATGAATAACGAGCTGCAATATGAATAAATAATTAAGTATTTCGTCTGTGCAAACAAAAGAAAAAGCATATTTTTTAAACAGCAAACAGCAGAGAACTAAAAAATAGGTTTCCAAGGGTAAATAAAAGCTAAACACGAATAATAGTGAAAAGTTGCAAAACCCACAAATATGAAGGAAACAAAACTTGTATTAATGCTGGCCCAATCATTTATAGGTAACTTGCACACAATTTCATTATACAAACAATGAAAATAATTGTTGTTTTATTCGTTTCTAGGTACAGGCTTCTTTTTTCTGTATGTTCATCATGTAAGATCATTATTTGAAAGCCGCACTAATGTTGCTCACTTGACACAATTGGAACGTGAATCGTTATTTCGGCGTGAAGATGCTTTATACTACAGTTTCTATAAAACATTAACAGATGCCCCCGACTTTTGGTCTGGCATCGATCAATTGTCTAATCTAACCACCATAGAATATCCACACAGTGTTAATGTCTTGAGTAGATTTCATGTATTACCAGAGATAACAATAGGGTAAGTGTACTTGCTACTAATCACTTAAACACGTTAACCCCACCCCCATGTAGATATCATAATCTTTTGATATAATAATCCATAAAATATTCATTGTTTATTTAATATGTTCTTGTACTTATAATGTTTTAATGTTTTTTTTTTAGGTTCTTTTATCATGTTCTACGCGCCAATAGCAAATTGGGTCTTTTCTCTTTGCTTAGCTGCTGGCGTTCCGATGACATACGTTTGACCCTAGACTATGGCCGTTGTGAGGGACAAAATTTGCAATTCTATTTGGAGTGTGTTTGGATGTTGGGTGGTGTTACCATTTTAACTATTTATATGTATGGTCTACTATTGAGTCGTAATATTTTTGGTGGCATTTATGCGGTGGCTTCGTATATAATGTTTCATAGTTTCGCCTCGAAAATCTATGAAAGGCCAATGGCCCGTGAAAATTTTGCATTTCCAGCCATATATTTGCAAATGTTTTACTTGTGTGTTTGCATTAATCGTGTTACGGAGAAGAAAACGCATACTATGTCCATTGTGCCGGTAAGTTATCTTATTTGGATTACAACAAAACTTAAAATCGGAACAGACAAAGCTGATAGATTGAAAAAACCATTATAAATTAATATGTTTGAAAAGCTTTAGAATTAAACTATTTCTTTCAGAATACTTTGGTTCTAGTTCAGTTCTAGTTTAGTTCTAGTTTAGCTCTAGTCCAGTTCTAGTTCAGATCTAGTTTGGTTCTAGCTCAGTTCTTATTCAGTTTTAATCCAGTTCTAATTCTAGTTCAGTTGTAGTTCAGTTCTAGTTCGTTTCTAGTTCATTTCATGTTCACTTCTAGTTCAGTTCCAGATGGACCAGTTTATATAGCTTGAAAGTGAACTGATTTATTTGGAAAAACTTGAAAACTTCCAAAACATCTTTCATAATGGTCCTGTATTTTTACAATATCTTGAAAACTATACCGTTTTTTAAATTGCTTTAACTAAACACTTCATTGCATACAAATTTATTTGCTATTTTTTCAGACCTTAAAACTCACCTATTTCACCACCATGGCTCTATTGTGTTGGCAATTTTCTGCCATAATATTCGCCAGTCAAATTCTTATACTCATGCTACCCTGGTCAATAAGTTCGGTACCCAATCGTGTGGTAGGAATGTTTACAGTCGATTATGTCTCGTCACAACTAATGGCAAACTGGATAGCTTATTATTATTCACAAGGAAATCGTCGTTATTTCTTTGGTTGGCAGCTAGGACCACTTATCGGTCTTTCATTAATAACAGCAATACGTTTGTATAAACAAACTCCTGCAGCAGCAACAACTAGTACATCGTCAACTACCGCCACACAACAAAAGGAGACAGAATCAAGTATCACCGAAAATACAGCAGAATTTCTGTTCAAAACTATACCTCTGGGGGTGTTACTTTCAATTTGTTCACAAAGCACCATCAATGATCTGCTGGAATTATCTGGCTTAGCTAAACCCATAGAAAATACATATGCTCTCTATAGGGATCTTATTATACATTGGGGTTTACAGGCTAAAGTTAATTTTGTTACCAGTTTATCGGCCTGTAATCCCGATTATGCCCGCATGGAGTTGTCTGAACTTTGGGGCTTTATAAAGAATTTAGTGGTTAAACCTTATTGCCTATATGGTGTTGTTATAATGGCAAGATTCTTTCGAAAATGGCGTAAAACTACTGAACCCAAAGAACCCAATTCCGAAGTGGTTGAGCGAGCTAAAAATTATATCTTAGAAGATTTTCTAGAAGAGCATCATGTCAGTATGTCTGATATGACTAAAAAAGAAACTGAAGCCATGTTTAATGAGTGCATGGAACTTTTTGCTAAATGTGACTATGATTATGATCGTTATAAGAAAGAAAAAATAAAATTGAAAAAAGAAAAACCCGATGAACATTTGGAATTCATGAATGATATTAAAAAACTAAAGGAACAAATTAATGAAATACGCGAACAGAAAGATAAAAAGTCAACACATAATAAAGAAAATCAAACTCAAAATGAAAATAAAGATGAAGATAAAGAAGGAAAACAAACAGATACTGATAATGATGCCTCAAATGAACCAGACAAAGATTCCTCTTCATCATCATCAGCTTCTGATACAACAAACAAACCGTCCATAAATGGTAAAAAGTCGTCTTCTTCCAAAACCACATCATCCTCTTCACAACAAAAGTCTTCAAATACGAAAACAACCGATCTCAATGACAGTGAAAGTGATGCTGATATAGATGACGATGATAATACCTGCAATTATCGTAGTTTTCATTATTTATACAGTTTTCTACAAATGGCTGTATTCGCTTTTATAGGCCTCAGTATTAGAAAATTATTTTTCTTATGTTTTACACAAGGTTGTGTTCTTGGTTCTACAATATGTTCCTCATTTATGTCTAAGAAAAATCGTCGCATTTTTTGGACTGCCTATTTGTCAGTGTTTTTAACGAGTATTATTAATCCGGGAATAAGGGTGAGTTGTTTTGGAATTTGTATGATTTCATTAAAAGTATCGTGGATCTATTTGAGTTCAAGTTCATTACTAGTTTAGTTCTAGTTCAGTGATCAGTACTAGTTCAGTTCTAGTTCAATTCTAGTTCAGTTCTAGTTCAGTTCTAGTTCAGTTCTAGTTCAGTTCTAGTTCAGTTCTAGTTCAGTTCTAGTTCAGTTCTAGTTCAGTTCTAGTTCAGTTCTAGTTCAGTTCTAGTTCAGTTCTAGTTCAGTTCTAGTTCAGTTCTAGTTCAGTTCTAGTTCAGTTCTAGTTCAGTTCTAGTTCAGTTTCTAGTTCAGTTCTAGTTCAGTTCTAGTTCAGTTCTAGTTCAGTTCTAGTTCAGTTCTAGTTCAGTTCTAGTTCAGTTCTAGTTCAGTTCTAGTTCAGTTCTAGTTCAGTTCTAGTTCAGTTCTAGTTCAGTTCTAGTTCAGTTCTAGTTCAGTTCTAGTTCAGTTCTAGTTCAGTTCTAGTTCAGTTCTAGTTCAGTTCTAGTTCTAGTTCAGTTCTAGTTCAGTTCTAGTTCAGTTCTAGTTCAGTTCTAGTTCAGTTCTAGTTCAGTTCTAGTTCAGTTCTAGTTCAGTTCTAGTTCAGTTCTAATTCAGTTCTAGTTCTAGTTCAGTTCTAGTTCAGTTCTAGTTCAGTTCTAGTTCAGTTCTAATTCAGTTCTATTAGTTCTAGTTCAGTTCTAGTTCAGTTCTAGTTCAGTTCTAGTTCAGTTCTAGTTCAGTTCTAGTTCTAGTTCAGTTCTAGTTCAGTTCTAGTTCAGTTCTAGTTCAGTTCTAGTTCAGTTCTAGTTCAGTTCTAGTTCAGTTCTAGTTCAGTTCTAGTTCAGTTCTAGTTCAGTTCTAGTTCAGTTCTAGTTCAGTTCTAGTTCAGTTCTAGTTCAGTTCTAGTTCAGTTCTAGTTCAGTTCTAGTTCAGTTCTAGTTCAGTTCTAGTTCAGTTCTAGTTCAGTTCTAGTTCAGTTCTAGTTCAGTTCTAGTTCAGTTCTAGTTCAGTTCTAGTTCAGTTCTAGTTCAGTTCTAGTTCAGTTCTAGTTCAGTTCTAGTTCAGTTCTAGTTCAGTTCTAGTTCAGTTCTAGTTCAGTTCTAGTTCAGTTCTAGTTCTAGTTCAGTTCTAGTTCAGTTCTAGTTCAGTTCTAGTTCAGTTCTAGTTCAGTTCTAGTTCAGTTCTAGCTCAGTTCTAGTTCAGTTCTAGTTCAGTTCTAGTTCAGTTCTAGTTCAGTTCTAGTTCAGTTCAGTTCTATTTCAGTTTATATTTTTACACTTATTATTATCTTCTATTATTAGAATATCCAAGAAGAGTATTTCCCATCTAACGAACTTAAATTAGGACATGATGA